CCCAGCTCTTGCTTCATCCCATGCCAAAGAGCTCTTTCTCCCCAGGATGATCAGCCCTAAGGATCTCCATTTGCTTACCACTCCCTCTTGGCCCCAAGGGTACTTAGCAATCACTAATTATACTAGTCCCACTTCAGTATGTTCAAGAATACTCACTTTCATGAATGCCTACATGTAGTCCAGTTTGTTTTTATCAATTTTTCTCCTGCACAATAGAAGGATACACTCCATAAACTTCCTGAAGTCCTCTCCATCTCAGCTCTGGGTCTCCTGAACATAACCACGCCGAAAAGAACCCACAGAGTTTCCTAAGGACAGACAACAGAGACTTCTCAAGTTTCATGACTGCAATGGAATTGGCGGTTGGCATGTTTTCCTTCCCTTTCCTTTTATTCCAGCTACATAGAAGATAGAAGACTTTTTCCTGCAACACTCCACTGGTTTACGGAACAAGGAGACTGTCGGGGACAGGTCTTGATAGCCTTCTTTAACATGCCTCCCCTAAACTACTTCATCTCCCATTTGAAGGAGAAAAGTGAAGAAAAAAAATAACCTTTCTTCAGAATCTTAAGTTATTCATCTTTATAAGCATTATAAATGGGGCAGAAATGGACACTGGAAAAGCCAAAATGGAAGGATTTAAAAGTATGTTCTCACACCCTATTGTGTACTACACTCTGGACATACTACATTTTGTCCAAGAACCACCACCTCCAAGAAGGAGCTGTTTGTGCCCCACAGATGAACTGTCTCCTTTATGGGATCCTGAATGCTATATGTGTCAGAGAGCAAGACCCAAATTCACAAAAAATTATCAGTGGATTTAGGCTCTTCAGGTCCGGACCATCTCTCTTGCACCTGCATCTCATAAGCAGGACTTTGGACTGCAGTTATGTTAAAAAAAAAATATCATGTTTACAACCTCTTCTTCCTACCGTGATTCAGAAGAAGAACTCTCAAGATTTCTTGCTTGAGATAGTCCTCTGGGTGAGGCTTTAAGCAGCCATGCAATGCAAAATGAATTCTGCAGAGATCTTGCATAGTATGTTGAGTACAAAATTTAAATATTTTGAAATCATCACTGATTATAGATGCATAACATTATCTTGCTTGACTGGCAGAATGATATTTGGTGATAGAATACACACCTATTTTTGGAAACAAAAATTTGCTCAGAAATACTAATCATTTTCTCAAACAATTTTCCTGTCCCAAAACACCTGATAAGACACATTCTCTTTAATAGGACCTGGCATGGATTGGGGATAAAGGAGGAAGTCAGTGTTCCATAAAGGAGATAACAGGCTCTGCCTATCATAATCTGCCAGGAAGACAAGGCAGTTTTCAAAGGCCTCAGAGGACATGGGGATGTGCCCACGTATCCTCCCCAGCAGCTCTTCCTTCCTGCCTTCATATAAAACACAAGGTGAAAATATTCACTGCTCCCAAAACAACTAAACACCAAAAAGCTGCTGAGGCATCTACCACTTAAAGTAGACCCTTAAAATGATTATTTACCCAACCATGCTACATTTACTAGGAAGGGCAGCAATAGGTCCTTCACACCACCCCATTAAGGAATGTACCATAATATATACTTCTTAGTACAACTAGAGAGTAATTATTATGGCTCTGTATGTGCTACTAAAATTAAAAATATATTTGCTCTTTATCTGTTAGTGATTACAGTTTATATTTATAAAGCTAGTTTAACAGCTTTTACTAAGAATATATGCAATTTTTTTCTTTTCACTAGCACTTTTTAACTTGTTTCCCTTACCTGTATCTCCATCATTTAACCAAATTTGCATGAATGAAATGTTTTGTTCACACTATTTTCTCAGAGTATCCTAAACACAATAAACATCAATGGCCTAGATTTTTTTTAAAAATGTAGAGTGTGAATACAATAAATCATCCATTACTTAATTGCTTTTATTTAAATCACTTGCAAATCATTTTATGCTGCCTCCTACCCTCCCCTTACTCCAGATTTTAAAAAATCAAAGCAAATAAAATACTAATCATGGCTAAGAGTATAATGCACAGTCAGCAGAACCTCCTGGAATGTGAACCAGTAAGTTTAAGTGAAGTAATCAAGTTTGCAGATGTTTTCCCAAATTAAAAGTTTGACTTAGACCTTTTATTTTTAAAGAGTCTTACCTCCTGTTCTCATCTTATTTCTTAAGCTACCACCAGAAAAGAAGTTGAAGGAGTCTGTGAGAGAATTTCCACTCAATGCCAATAGCACAGCTTTGAGCTAGCCTCATTGTCTTTGTGCTTGGAGCTGCATAACAAGGGAGGAAGCATAGGATCCACTCATGTGTTTGTTATTGAAAGGAAAACTAGTTCCATATGTCCACACACACACCTCATTTTGTGTCTGGCCTTTAGACAAGAAACATCACATAGCGATGTCAAGGAAACAGTGACATAGCAATCTGGTTTTGCTTAAACTTATGTACAAGAAAAAATACATTTAAATGACCTAAAAGGTGTTTTAACTTTATTCCAAGTGGACAATAGAACTTGTGTGAAATCAGTCAATTTTTTTATCCTTGAAAAAATATGAACCATTAATATTTTCAATTATAAGATTTGTTTTAATCAAGTGTTCAAATAAATCTCCAAGGAGTTTTCTCTCTTCTTTTCTAGGTTAAAAAAATCATGTGTCCAAGAAGAGAAAAATAATTAAGTAGAATTCACTATTGAAGTTTAGAAATGAGAAGAAAGGGATGGTGTGCTACAGGGGGAGAGCTAAGAATGAATACCATTAGAACAGAAAGAGGAATTCTGATACAGGTACTGGAAGTCACATAGCATTTTGGGAGGAGGTTTCTTAAACACACATACACATAGACACACATATACAACCCTATTTAGCAATCTGTCAGGATTTCTCCATGACTTGATTATTCTCACAGCTCTCAGACTAGGCCAAGTTACAGGAATTGATCATAATCCATCTACTTCAAGCCTATTTAACTGATTTGCACAAGTTCACAAAAACTTGGCCAATTTGCCTATAAAATGCGCATGTCAGTTACCCTTCAATGGTTCACAACTCAGCAGCCTGAGCCCACTGGCACCTCAGAGAGCACTGAGAGACTTTGTCTTCAGTCCATCCCAAAGTACCCCAGCCCTGCCATCAATAATCACACAAATGAGTTTCCTCAGAGTCAGACCCAGGAGTGTCAGCAGTGAATTACTGGGGAGATTTCGGGACTCAGTGTTCCTGAATTTCACTCTCTAGGCTATCACTTTTTCCAAGTGTTTTTATTGCTCTATTACCAGGAAAAGGGCAGGGTGTTAAAAAGAGTCAGAATGCCCTCACACCCCAAATGACCTGTAGCAGAGTCAGCAATAGGACAAAACGTGCACAAGAGTGAAGATGTTTTTCTTTCCCAGATTTCTCCCTGCTGCTTGTGAAGTTGGAAGCGCAGTTGCTGGCTCAGCGGGAAGGGGCAGCAGTTGTCTTGTGCACCTGTGCCCTATGTCTGCTCTACTGGTGATGACCCCTTTACATCTCCAGGGATACAATTTCCCCTCCCTCAAGTTTCTCTCTTCCCATAGAACTTATGTGTATGAAAGGTAAATTAACCACATTCCTACTTCAGGAATGCAATGGTCTCTTTCAAAATGTTTCCAAAACAAGGGAGCAATGACAGCTATTAATCTTAGAACTTAGATCCAACGATTCTCTCCAAAAAGACAACATAACAATTTTCGGAATGTATAAGTTAATTTATGAAAATGCTTTAGCATTTTATACTGAAAAAAATGAACATTTCTTAAAGATAAACTGTGCTACTTGCAAGCTGCTTACTTTCAGCCACCTACATAGGAAAATTGCCATGGCTTCACATTCAATAATTGAATATGATATATTAAAATAGAATGTAATTATAATTAAATATATAGCATTAAATTAAGGCTATAATTTATTAATATATTATGGCTAATAATTTTAATTATGTTTAAAAAGTTCTTCAAAAGCATAATATTATTATTGCTGGTCCATCTCACTACTGATCTCCATCTATGGCCTTACCAAATACAGAGATGGTGATATAAAATTAAAGCATCTTAATTAGAACCCACAAAATAAATGTCCCACATGGCCACATAACCATTTTGATTCTTCTTTGTATGTAAATCTAATTTGATTTTGGATATTGGGCTTTATTGTTCATGTTCTATTATAAAATTGTAACAAATGTGATGCTGACAAAACTTTTTCTTTTGATTGATTTGATCAGCTAAAAAGAAAGTGGAGGAACAAATCCTTGGCTTTAATTTGTGAGGAAGTGAGGCACAGTCACTACGGGACAGCTAAGGTGGAATATTACCAGCTGTAGCTGTGTGACTTCAGGCCAGTTACCAAACTGTTACTCAGTTTTCTAATCTATACAGTGGGAATAAAAATAGTATATCTCTCAGAAAGTTTTAGCAAGGATTTCACAAATTAGCATATATAAAGTTCTTGGAACAGGAAACACATACTAAGCACAGAGTAAATCCTAACTACTTTTGTAATGTACCAGAATTTTCAACCTCTTTATTGGACTTTTATATTTGACTACATCTCCAGGTGAACATATCTAAAAAGGCATTATTCCTTTTCTCTTCAGGGCAGCACCCCTCCCAGCTTTCTGGGAAATATAGCTTAGGGCAGTGCTGCTGCCCTCCTTTGATAACAGTAGAAGTGTCACCAACTCATTCAAGCTGTCACCAAAGCCTCCTGATTTCTTGCTACAACTCTGGTTGCCTTTGTCAATTCCCCTCCATTCCAGTCTCCACCTCCCCATGGAGACTCTCATTACTTCCAGCCTCAGTATCCCTACAATCTTGGGAGCTCCCCGCACCCAGGAATGCTGTCTTCCTGTTTCTCAACACAATGTGAGCTACATCTTCTTGAAATGCCATTGCCATGGCGTCTCCTTCCATCTTGATCCTGGCATCAGGGCCCTCTGCAGTCAGTCCCCAGATGATCTTCCAACCTTGGTTTTCACCATTTCTCTGAGCCAGTCTACTCCAGTGGGCTGTTCATCCACACCTGGGCTTTGTGGAGCATCAGGTGCAAGAAGCAGAGCCTCTCTCAAGGTGACATCAGTCGATGGAGGTGTAGAATGGGCAGCCATGGGTAGGGAATGTCCCCAGTTCTGTGTACCAGGAATACAAGGGCAGGACACTATCTCAGCAACAATGATGCTTTGCTTCGCAAAGACGCCAGAGAAAATGTCAATATTGCAGACATATTTATACTGAAAAGCCATCTGCAGTTTGTCTGAAATATAAATTTACCTGGACATTCCATTTTATTTTGTTCTTGGGTGGTTTGTTCTGTTTTAGTATTTTGTGTTTTCTAAATCTAGCAACCCCACCTCAGAGACAACCAGGAGGACACTAAGGTCTTTGGTTTACAACAGCAGCCTCCGTGTCCCAACAAAAGAGATCACACTGTCTCGTGCCTGCAGGGGCTGGGTAGGCAGTGTGAAAGTGTGCAGTAGGGCCTATGTGGGATGACACATGATGACTCACACTGATCTCAATTGTCGGGGCCACCCCAGCGATCAGGGGACGTGTAATACATTGGTGTACACTATACATGCTTCATCTAGAGCTAGTGGTTCCTACTCATCTGTAGCTATTGCTGCAATCAGGGATGTGGTAGAAATATTCCAAAATTTCCCATGTTTGAGACCTTCATATTTGAAAAGCTTTAATATTTTAATGTTGGCAACTAATTTAATAATAAAATATTGTTCTGGCATCCCTATGTGGATGGACCAAAAAAGGGACACACTGGCCTCCCCAACCAATCAGCCTGCAGGTGGTGACCTCTGCTCCACAGCAACAAGGGAGGTCAGTCCTCAACTGGGAAAAGGTGTCCTGTGCCCCAGCCCCACCCTACATTATGGTGGTTCAGCGGCACTTCTGCTCTTGACCAACTGGCTCTCTTGGTGCATCTTGATTTGAACTCTTTGAAAGACAGGAACCTGACTGGGCTGGCCAGTCACCTTCCAGCATACAGCAGTCTTGATCAGACTCTCCTAGGTCTTTGGCCAGCCTAGAGAAGGGTGCTGTCTAATTTAATACACTATGTCCTGCACAATAAGACCCAGACAGTTCCTCTTTCTACCATCTTCTGCCTACCACAGAGCCCTCTTACATGCCTCCTCTGAAGTCATGCCTTCCTCTCCCTCACTACTAAATTAACACCTTTTCACCCTTCAGATCTCAGCTCAGTGCCACTTCCTCACAGACTCCTTTCCAGGCCTCTTTGAAGAGGTCAAACACCATCACTATAAGACCCAATAGCACCCAGTAGCCAAGGTTGCTAGCTCAAAACCTTGACTGGTATGTACAGATATTGACCAACCAGAACTTGGCCCCATTACAATGGATGCCGGACAAGATCATGGAGGTTTCCTTGTGGGCCAGGAATTAACCACTTAGTACTAACACACAGGTAGGGGGAGCAATCCCAGCAGTTCTGGAGACAGGGCTTCAGGGGTCCAGGACACAGGGGAGTGGGCACTCTGGGAGCCCATGGCAGCAGCTCTACTCTCCCAAAAACTTCATAACTAAAAATAACAATTTATTCTTTCTCACAATTTCTCAGTCATACTGGCTTCAACTGAGCAGTCTTCCTGCTCCCCGTGTGTTTACTGGGGCAGGAATGTCCAAGATGGCTTCTCTAATCACGTGGCTGGTGTCTCTGCTGGGGTGGCTGAAAAGCAAAGACATGGCTGAGCATTGCTGTCTCCATATAGCCTCTCCCTTTAGGCCAACTTCACTTCTTCACACCACGGAAGTCTCTGGATGGTTGGGCTTTGTATATGGCCAATGGCTTCTAAGAAGATGGAATTAATCTACTCGTTCTCTTAAGGCTTTGGCCCAGAAGTCTCAGTGTCCCTTCAATACACTGTTCAAAGCAATTTCCAAGGCAGCCCTGATTCCAGGGAGGGGAAAGACTTCACCTCTTGAGAGGCAGAACAGCACTGTGTATACAGAGAGAAGGAAAGGGAAGGATGGCAGAGTACCTATCAGCCACGTATGTGACTCTCCTTTGGGTCACTGTTGCAATTTTACATTCGTCTGTGATTTATTTGCGAAGAGTCTCCCATATGGCAGGGACTGGGACTACATATGCTCACTGCTGTGTCTCTTGTGTCTAGCATAGTGCTGGGCACATTGTAGAATTTAAAATGCATTTGTTGAATAAACAAATATCCCCTTCAAGATGCGGCAGCCACAGTCACATTGAACTGCTGCAGAGACTGAAATGCTTCCATTTTTGTGAACTAAAAGTTTGATAAAGCGTTTTTAGAGGGGGTGGAGTAACAGAAAGCTTTGATTGAGCGTTGTCTTTGGCAGAAGACCTAGTTTTGCTTGAAGGCTCTAGAATGCATATTTTGGCACTGGATCCCAGATGTCTGTGGAATGCCTTAGGGTGCAGGAGAACTGAAGTGAGAGAAAAGGACCTAATACAATAGGTTTTCCCCCATACCTCCCCTGTTTTATGGGTGTTCTTAGAACCCAGCACAGATTTCCTACAAGTGATAAAATCATCAATAACAGGAACCACCCACCAAGACTTGCTAGCAAGCACAACCCCAACCGCCCAGGAAGGCTCTCCTTAAGCAAGAATTAAGACCTTCCTCCAGCTTGTAATGCTTAGTGTGGGGTAAAGGTTGTATTTGGGAGGCAGCCTGGGGTAAAGAAAACAATAAGTGTCAGAAAAACTGGGTTTCTTTCTAGCTTTGCCCTGCACTAAGGAATAGCCCTGAATGAAGAAGCACTTCTCCTAGCACCAAGTCACCCTCTGAAATACTTGGAGGGCTCAGCCAGGTTCAGGTCTCAGCCCTCCTGATGCACTTAATTAAGCCATGTTCTGCCCTGTAATGAGATATAACAATCCCACCCTTCTAGCCTTTTTGCTCCCATCGGTAATGCCCGTCCTCCTGCCGATCCAGCCTGAATCACTGAGACTTGCCGTTGATTGAGTCACTCTCTCTTCTGCCACATCCACTCACTCCCCAGGTGTTGAGATGCCTGCCTCCTGGGCCTCCTGGGCCTCCTGGGCCTCCTGCCTCCCACACCCATTCCTGCTGCCTCTCCCCTGTCCAGGTCCTCCTGGATCGAAGACATGGCTTGGTTCCTGCCACCTGATTCCAGACACGCTTGCCAGAGGGAGATCAGGATGAAGCTCCCGAGGTTGGAGCTCCAAGCACACTGACTTGCCTGGGCTCCTTTCCAAGGCCCAGGAAGAGGCAAGCTTTTCACTGACAAGGTTACATATTTGTGTAAGATATTTTAACCGCTGCGGTTGTGACCCCTGTCGTTTTTCACCCGTTTCCCTCGTGTTGAGTGGCGGTGGGGTGTCTGTGGGTCTTTTATGATATGCTGATAAGGGGAAGTGGAGTTGGTGATACATTCAGTTCAGGTTAAGTGGAACATGTTTGTGTGGTTTACTTAAAGGTACCCACATTGGTTGAGAGCAAATAGTGAGGTTTAGAAACTGTTTGGATTGCACTCAGAACATTTTGGGGAATAAAAAGCAGTAATGCAAATAAATTATAAATGTTTGAGATGATGGATATGCTAATTCCCCTGCTCTGATCACTACACATTGTATGTATTGAAACATAGCTATATCCCCTATAAACATGGACAATTATGGGTTGAAAATAAATAAAAATTTTAAAATAAATAAAATTAAACTATATCTCCTAAAAAATCCCTGAAAACTCACATTTATTTCTACATTTAAACCAACTCTACATAATAAGTTAAACCAAAAAAAAAACAGTAATACATTATGAGGAAAAGACAGATTTTGAATAAAAATGATAAACAGCCTCTTGGATTATTTGATAATTTGATTAATAATTTGAATCATGTGGACACATTGGAAACAATTTTAATTTCTTGCTGATTTGGCACGAAATACCAATATTAACAAGTTTAGCCCAAACCTCGTAATACACATTACAATGAAGACATTGACGATAAAATATTTGATGAGGGCCGAATGAAAAGAGTATTTGAGATCAGTCAACACATAAGACAGCTCAAAATCTGACAACTCTTACAACTCATGTATGACAGAAGCTGCATGGAGGTTTGTTCAACTTCAGCAGCAACCCAGAATCTTTATCTCACATTACCCACAGCAAGGCATCAGGCTGAAGGGAACTTTTTAACACCATCAATTCTTTTAATTGTGTGATTTACCATGTTGAGGAAAAGCTGAATTATCTTTCTATCACGATTATAGAAAATGATATGCAAAGTCATTGTCATGTGAAGAGACTTTTAAAGACTATGAAGCCCCTGCCTCAAAAGACAGCAGAAAGAAAAGTCATAAGAATATGCCAGGCAATTACTTAAAAGGTCATTTTACTTTTCTAGATTTTTTATGATATTTTATCATTTTTTTATTTTCTAATTTGTGGTGGTTTCCTTTCTCAATCCATGAAAATATTCTTTTTTCATTCCTAATTTTGTGTTTATAAGTTTGTATGCCTTTTCTTAAAGAGGACCCTAAAGTATATGAGCAGTGAGCTGTATAAAGCCTGAGCTACCTTGCCAATAGTCAATTCTCCTTCCAATCTCCTAAGAGAATACAAATGTATTCAGGGACCCACTTTCTTCTGTCTGACCTTGGGTTTCAAGGGAGGTCATTCCAGCTGTACTTTCATTCATCTGCCCAGCAATTGCTTTACATACACATACACATGTGGCATAACTCTGGCAATGGATAGGAAGAAAAGACTACTCAGGGATTTGGGGAAAGGTTTACTTCTTTGATTAAAGCTTTTAAAAAAATAAAAGGCACCCAGGGTGGAGTGCCCTATCTTTGTCATCTGAATATTGTTGTGTTTGGATGTGATTGTGATTTCTGGAATCATAGCAGCCATGATGTGACAAGGAAGAGAGCCAGCCTCAGAACAAGCCAACCAGCAGAGAATGATGGAGGTAAAAGAGCCAGCCCCAGGCCCCACATTCAGACTTATATGTGAAGTAATTATATGTTTTCTTTTTCTTAAAGGCAGTTGAGTCAAATTTTCTATTACTTATAGCTCAAAGCTTCTCAATGGATACACTTTCTCTCAAAGCTCTCCATTGCCTCTGACAAGTCGCTTAGGGGTGATTTTTTTTTCTTTGTACAGTTAAAATAAAGGGATGATCAGAGAATGATTTCACAAATCACTGAGTTTGCCATACAAAGAGAAAGTTTTGCTTTCATTCATAAGGCTTAAGAGGAGAG